AAGGTTCCCCTGCATCCCACTCCCTACAGAGTCTGCGAGCCCACCTGCAGCCCCCTTCCAGCCTGCCCAAGTCTCCTGTCTCATGCCTTGAGGTCCAGGGCCCCAACAGGCAAGAGATATTCTGGGACTCATTAAGGCACTCAGGGCCATGAGGCTATGCTGGGACGCCAGGGAGAGGATTACTCATGCTGACTGGGCAGCACTGACGGCTTCAGGTCTCCAAATACCACAGCAACATTTTGCGGAGTGGGGTTTATGACAAACACCATATTTATGCCAGCTCTGCCTCCTTTAGCAAACTTGTGGGTATTTTTATCTCCACAGATACTCCAGTGCAGGTAACTGGGAGCTGCGCAGCATCCGCCCATGCCCAGTTACCTCAGCGTTGCTCAGGAGCCGGAAGAGGCCAGCGGTGCTTCCTGGGCGGCTGGCTGCCAGCCACCACGCAGCTTGCAGGGCCCCCAGTCGGTGCAAAGGTGCCTGTAGCTCCTCCACAGTTACCTCCTGCAGCACCTTCTGCCACAGCTCCTCAGTGCTAAGGTCCTGCCCACAGGCCCCACAAGCCTCCAGAACTGAAAAAACAAACAAAAGACCCCCAGGCAGGAGAAAACAGGTTGGTGCCCTGTAACAGGCACCCTCCCCAAGAGGGAGAGAAGGCCTCAAGCAAGCATGGGCTCCTGCTGGCGAGGGAAGGAATGGGGTTACAGGGCTGGCTTAGCCTCAGCAGCATGGAAACTCTCAGACAGTGGAGTTAACAGCTCAGGAGACAGCACACGTTTCAGAGCTATGACTCTGGTTCTGCCAAGTCCTCCTGAGGTCACTTGCCACCAGGCAATCAAGTGCCAACACGACAAAACCCCCTCTGACCTGTAGCCTATTTCAGTGAGTTTTCTTTGAAGCCAGCACACCACAATTAAAGAAAACAGTCAGTTTCCACCGTCGCTGAAACTTTGCTAGAAACTTGGCACATTACGCCTTGAAAACTCTTAAGCTTCCCTTAAAACCTCCAGCCCATCCCTGCAGGCAGCAGCAGGCAGACAGGCAGGCAGCTGTGCACTGTCCCTGGCCGCAAGCTGCCCCACCTCCTGCCCTTCCTGGCAGAGCCAGGCTTCCCTGCTCACAGCCCTCCGCCTCCAGCCAGCCACCGCACATCTCCAAAGCACAGAGAACAATCTCCTTACCCCTGAGGAGCCCCTGGCGTATTCCTTCTGCTTCTCCTTCAACTGCAGAGTCAGATGCTCCCATAGTAAAAAGCAGGGAGTTGTAGAGGATAGTAAGCTCCAGAGGCAGGGCAGGGAGGGCAGCTGGCAGCCCTGTGATCACAGCCAACCCAACAAGAAATTAAGCTGGCTAGGAAAAACCCAACAACCATCCATGCTAAGGTGTCATCACCTGGCTGTGTGACAACAGAAGTGTCCTGGCAAGTATTTTTTTTTTTGTTGTTGTGGTGAGATTCGACAGCTGAGGAGCTGTAGTACCTAGAGAGATGGCAGGTGTCACCTCTCCAGGTGCCGACACTGCTTTAGACATCCATTCCCCAGCTATCCAGGCACTACAGTTCTCCAGGACTGAGACCCTTCAGCTCTCCCAAAAGAGCATCTGTCCTCCAATGCACATCCACCCTTTTGCACAGGTTTCCCACCCTGTATCCCTCTCCCTTGTGTCAGGCTTCCTCTATGCCAGTGTGGCAGGGAGCCCCTTCCACAGCTTTCCAGGACAAAGGTTGCCTCATTTTTTTTTCCAGAAACCCCAAAGCTCTGCACACATCCCCCAACAAGATTAGGTAGAAGTTGGGGCTGGGTCTTAATCCCTTGGGAGGCCCAGGTCAGCTTCGGAAGTTTGTTTCCAGCTGAGCTGCGGCGAACGCCGGTGCCTGGGAACCGGTGCTTCCACGGGACCGGGACGGCAGCGGGAGGGAGGGTGAATGCAAGGCACGGGGCAGGGCGGCTCCGGCTGACCGGGCCGCCA